AGATGCAAGTGACTTGCATCTGAAGAAGTGAGGTTCTTACCCACGAAAGCTTATGCTCCCAGTACTTCTGTTAGTCTCAAAGGTGCCACAGGACCCTCTGTTGCTTTTTACAGATTCAGACTAACACGGCTACCCCTCTGATACGTATCAGGATGCTGATTGCTTTGCATTTGCTGCCATTGAGCATTTTTATTTTTAAACTGTATTAACCAGTTTTAGGTAAAATGTACTATTTCCCTCAAGACACATAATTCTGGCCAGCCTCTGAAAAACTCATTGCTCACGGTATGACTCATTATGCCTGCTAGCAGTGTTCTATGTAACAAATGCCAGCTTGTAGAGTGTCATTCTTTGACTGTTTACTGATGTAGCTAGGGGGCTAGCCTTTTATATCTCTTGTTTCTTCAGAAAGATTACTGATTTATCAAAAAAAAAAAGCATCAAGAAACAAGGTAGTAAACCAGCACCATTTGACTTGCCAGTACTCCATGGATCACAATTTGGGAACCAAATGACATTTTTGGCAGAGGGTGGTTGAGCATAGCAACTACAGAGATCCAAGCCTTTCTTTGAGTCACTGACTGACTTAAGTATATCTTAAGGAGTCAGGCGAGTATAATAAGGAGTTTATCCAAGACTTTCAACCAAGACTTTTTTTTCCAGGCTATCACCCCTTAAGTCAGAATATTGGCTCTCAAACAGCAGACCACTGCTGTTTTAGGTATGGTTGTATTTATACATTATATATTCTAGCACAGGTGTAAATAAAAACTACTGTTCTGTCCAGAAATAACTTCCAGGGTAACACAACCGTGACTGCTCTTTCTCATTGTTAGAGGAGCTTTTCTAGACCTTCAGCTCCCAAAATGTTTTGCACCACAGAGAAAGAGCACATGTGCACGCACACCACACATTTAAAAAAGAAAGAGTGAAATTAAGAAAAGAAAAATTTAGGCTGACACTAGGAAAACTTCTAGACTGGTGAGATGTACTAGGCTGTGGAATAGTCTCCGAGAGTTTTGAGAAAACAGCTATGTTACAGCAAGCCCAATGGACTGTAACAAGTATAGGAGGGCCCAAATAAAGCCCAGTTCCTTGACTCATGTAACTGGGTTGGAAAGAACAGACAATATGCCGAAGCCCAGAACTCCACATAGCCATATAACTCCACTCTTGAGAGGCAGATTCCTCAGGCAAGTATCAGCAACATAACTGTCACGTTGACTACACTGAAGGCAGAATATTGAAGAAAAACAAATTATTTAGGTTACATGCCTTCATCGGGTTTGCAGTTAGAAATCAATGGGCCCTAAGTTACTTCAGTGACAATGAAAATCCTTATATGCCTAACTTTAGCCTCCTGTTTTTGAAAATTTCAGACTGTTTTTTAAAAAGTTCACATTAAGTTTAACATTATAACATGAAAGCAATTTTGTTTTGAAGTAAAACATTTTATGCCACTAAAAGTTTTTTCTTTTCTTTTTTTTTTTAAATAAAAATACAATTTTTGCCCTGATGCTAAAAACACTCAGGCACAAGCTTAACATTAAGCACAAGCAGGCTGACTGATGTCAGTGGGACTATTCATAAGCATAGTTATGTATCTGAAATGTTTCCAGAATCAGGGCCTTAATTTTCAATTTTGATTTCTGCCAATACCAACGTTGCAAAATTCAATAAATATACCCTACCCGTAGTGGCATTTTAAAAACTGCATTTATGATTCCGTTCATTATTATTTAGTTTGTTAAGTTTTAATCTAAAGTTGCAATAGCATAAATTTCCAAATGAGTTTTAAAAAGCCTCAGATTTAAATTAATGATTTTTTTGTGGTAAAAAACAAACAAAACAAAAAAAACCTCAAGCCATTTAAATTGCTTCCCCATGTTGCTTTCGTTTTCAGCTCACAATAGCATCATGTTTAAAAATGGTCTCCAGAATGCATACCTTCTGTTTTAAACTGAACAATTGTCTAAAGGGATGGATAAAAAGCAACAGAAGAGGCATCTTGTGTCACTTGACTCTGTTGTTCCCTCTTATGTACAGAAATGATAAGTGTGGGCCTTTGAGGAACTCAGTGCCCTGAAATCCCACTAAGGTTATAGATGACATGAGGGCACTGGGCACCTCTCAGGGTAGGGCCCAGAGTGAACAAGGAAGGAGTGGGGAAAATATTGCTTTCATCACCCCTTACCATTTGTCTCATTAGTACATCATTAGTGTGCATATGTATATTATGTTCTGATATTCTATATTTAAATACTGATACATTTGATTATTTTCTTGAAGGAACTTTTAAGAGAAAAGGCTACAGTATTGCTTCACTTCTCCATCTCTTGCAACTCATACAAAATCATGACCTTTTGGACATTACAGGTTAGCCAATTAAACCTTTAAAGTTCATATATCTAGAGAAGAATGACAAAATATTGTATGGGAAAAAGAGACATACAGGGTTCACATTTACACCTCCATGGAAGGAGTAAATAAGCTAAATACAACCCTGTTTAAGTAATTGGGGGGGGGGGGTGTTATATTAAAATCTTGTTAATAAAATTAGATATGCAAGAACATGGACATATAGAAAGTTATTCAAAAATTTTTTAATTGATTTTGTTTTACTTATGTGATAAAAATGTTTATGCTTTAATCTTATTAGGCAAATGATACCAAAAAAATGCCAGGAGCTCCAATTATATTTATTCCCCACAGCTGCCTTTTATGAATGATGTGATCTCTCTAGGAGCAAAGAGAAAAAGCTTATGATTGAGGACAGGGACAAACTAGACCTGACCTACTTTTTAATACGGCTGGAGGCCAGAGACATTAAGTTTTAGTTGAAGAGCAATATTAACAGAAATTTGTTTCAGGGCACAATTAAAAATGATAATTTTAAAACGGACCAAATTCTGTAGTTTAGCAGGCAGCTTAGGCAACCTTTCTTGTTGTTCCCACTGAGAACTCAATTACTACAGTAATTCATATAGCAAACACTTTGCTAAAAAGCAATTTTAAAATAATCTCTGCAATTTCATACAAAGATAAATTCAATTTAGATTAGTGTTTGTGAAGTGCTTTGCAAGCCTCATATATAAATGCACTAAAATACAAAATAAACAGTAAAGAATTCTTAGCCTGAGCATTTACAAGAGATCTCTCCAATTTTATAGTTTGAGACTTCCACTGCATACAACAATGAAGGTGAAGCACTAATTTCCTCAGAGAGGCTGAACCTTCTTCCATAAGTGATTACCATTACCTTCAATGGGAGCAGCATCAGATCCCATAAGTATGGATCTGTGTTCATTAACAGTATGGTTTGGAACCTGGGATTTCTGCCAATTTTATCAGTAAAATTCACTTTACACAGCATTTACTACAGAGGTCTTCAAAACTCTCTCAACTAATACCATAATATTCTCTCCCCCCTCCCACAGTTCTATGAAACATCTACCAGATTCACAACTTTCTAACGTCTAACTTTCCCTTTCTCAGTTGCTCATAACTTACTGGAAAAAATAAATCTTTCTAGACTGAAAGCTTTCGTGTTGGCTATCAGCAGCAAGGTGATTATTTTTAATCTTTGGGCAAAATATTTGTTCAGTATATACTAAAGGCAAATATTTATTAAATATCTATAAAAATATATTAAAGACCTTCCCCAAAGACTACGCTTAGATTTTTACAGATGCTAATTCATTCATATTTGGCTTACATTGCAGATATCAAGACCCCAAAAAGAACACAAATTTGGTCAGTTTATTAACTTATAAACTTTTTTCTAAATACAAGCATAGCAGAATTTGTGTGTGGGGGGGATTTCATCACTCAAAAGCCACAGTTGTTCAGAATGTTGATAAAAGTATGAAATGTTTTAACTTTTGATCAAGCTAAACTCCAAGTCAGTTTAAAGCTAAGCTAGGGGGAGTGTGCGCACGCATGCACACGTGTGCATGTCCAACCCGTTCTTAAAAAAAAAATCCAAGGATGGGGATTCCACAACCGCCCTTGGAAGCCTATTCCAATCCTTAACTATTCTTATAGTTGAACATTTTTCTTAATATCTAATCTAAATCTCCCTGACTGCAGATTAAACCTAATATTTCCAGTGGCCATGGAAAACAACGATTACTGTGCTCTTTATCACAGCCCTTAACATATTTGAAGACTTATCAGGTCCCCTCCTTCAGTCGTCTTTTCTCAAGACTAAACATGTCTAGTTTTTTTTGTTTTTGTTTTTAAACCTTTCCTCATAGGTCAGGTTTTCTAAACCTTTAGCATTTTTGTTACTCTTCTTTGAACTCTCTCCGATTTATTCGTATCTTTCTTAAAGTGTGGCACCCAGAACTGGGCACAGTACTCCAGTTGAGGCCTCATCAGTGCAAAGTACAGTGAGACAATTACTTTCATGGGTAACATACAACACTTGTTAACATGCCCCAAAATGATATTAGCTTTTTCCACAACTGCATCACACTGCTGACTCATTCAATTTGTGATCCACTACAATCCCTCTAGATCCTTTTTGGCAGTACTACCATCTAGCCAGTTATTCATTTCATAGTTATGCATTTTATTTGTCCTTCCTAAGTATAACACTTTGCACTTGTCTTTACTAAATTTCACCTGGTTTAATTCAGATCAAGTCTCCAATGTGTCAAGGTCATTTTGAATCCTAATCCTGTCCTCTGAAGTGCTTGCAACACCTCCAAACTTGGTGTCATCTGCAAATTTTATAAGCATGCTCTCCCCTCCATTATTCAAGTCACTGATGAAAATATTGAACAGTACTGAACCCAGGAGTGGGAGGATGTATCTAGTGGGGCTCCGTAGGGGTTAGTCCTGGGTTCAGTACTGGCAAGTTTCTGCGCAACAAATTATACCACTTTTATTAAAGCGCTGGAATTAAACTGCTGTTGAGTGTCCACACTGGGTTCCTTGTGATGGTGGAGTGCATCCACATTAGCATCTCTTGCAACCGCAAAGAGAGCAGTGCACTATGGTAGCTATCCCACTGTGCAACTGGCCTCAGGGTGCTTTGGGAAGGGTTTTCAATGCCTCATGGAGCAGGCACAGCATCACATGATGCATGTTTCCCAATCCCATTGTTCCATGGGCCTCCTGCTACATTGCTAGCTGCTTTTCAACTGACGGGAGGAGGGAGGGAAGTGTGTGTGTCAGGAAGTAAGTGTGTGTAGTGGGGGGGGGGGGGAAGAGAGAGGGAAGAAGAGGGTGTGTTTTGGGGGACAGAGAGTGTGTCAACATGCCGTCTTGTAAATTCAGACAGCGGAAGAAAGCAACCAGTCCTGAGGCGGGAGAAACCCCAACATCAGCCCCCTCGCCTCCCTCTCCAGCTCTCTGCACAGCAATCTCTCTCTCTCTCTCTCTCTCACACACACACACACACACCCCTCTGTGTTCAACATTAAGTTTGCTTTGTGTCCCAGAGCAGATCAGCACAGCATACCATGGCTGTCAGAAAGGGAGCTTGGTGCAGCCAAGTTCAAACAATGAGCAGAGCAGCCACTTTAGGGATTATGGGACACTTCCGGAGGCCAACTGATTGCTTTCTGCACTGTAATGTGTTTACACTGCCAATACAGCGCTAGAGCTAGGGTGACCAGACAGCAAGTGTGAAAAATTGGGATGGGGGTGGGGGTAATAGGAGCCTATATAAGAAAGAGATCCAAAAATCGGGACTGTCCCTATAAAAACGGGACATCTGGTCACCCTAGCTCAAGCCTCTGCGTTTTAAGGCTTATGATTCTCATTGGGGTGGTTTTTTTGCAACGCTGCAACTGAGGCGTTTCTGAGCACTAAGGGGCTTGGCAATGTATACACCTCAGGAGTTACACCGCAGAAAGCTGCTTTACTGCACAGAAACTTGCCAGTGTAGACAAGGCCTTATTGTGTCTTGGCCTTTTTTTTTTTGTTCCTAGATGCTTGGGCTATTCTTTTATATGTCTCCTTCGCAATTCATCCATAGTTCTATTTCTTATAAAAGATTCCTTTTTGATTTTCAGTCCATTAAAGAGCTCCTGATATGAAAAATAGTAAAAAGCCAATGTGGATCTTTCATTCACACTGGGATAGTTTGCAGTTGTTGTGCCTTTAATACTGTTTCCTGGGGAAACGTACAGCCCTCCTAAACTCCTTTATCACCTGAGATTTTCTTCCCATGGGATCTTACCTAGCAGGTCTTTGAGTTTGTTAAAGTCTGCCTTTTTGAAGTCCACTGACCTTATTTTGCTGCTCTCTCCTTAATTGCCTTTGAATCAGGAAATCTATCAATTCATGATCACTTTTACCCAAACTACCTTACCAGATTCACAACCAGTTCCTTCCTGCTGGTCAGGATCAAACTATACGTCAGAATTCTAAGTTTACACCCTCTCTGGACACTGCTAAATTACCTTTACCAGAGATTACTTTTATTCCTGGAGTCATAATTACTGTTGGAGAACAAAGGATTTACCTTGTGAAAGTACCAGAAGGCACCAACTCCCAGCAGCAAGTTTTCAATATAATTTCCTAAGTAGCATTAGAGTCCTAGGGCTAATTTACATTAGAAAATAAGATCAACCAACCTACGCTCAAGGGCATGAAGAATACACACCCCGAGTGGCACAGTTAAACTGATCTAAGTCCCTGCGTAGACTGCGCTAGGTTGATGGAAGAATTCTTCTATTACCTACACCAAGGGGAGAAGCCCCCCCTTGGTGTAGGTAACATCTACAATGAAGCTACAGCGGCACAGCTGCAGCATTTCAAATGTAGACAAGCCCCTTGAGTCTTCCACAAGGTTTTGCTAAGATCTCAAGTTGAAACTGTGAGTGTCAAGTTCTCCCATTACCTCTTTAGAGGAAGGGGGAACTAGCCAGCTCCAACAAGCGAGAACCGAGGCTCACACAAGTTAGGTGAGTTTGAGCACACCTAGGTATGCCAGCGGCTTAACAGATCAGCCAGGTGCTGACCATAAGAAATGGTTTCACTCACTGGATTCTGTCCAGGCTGGAGGCCCGAGGCATGGGGAGGGGGGGGTGTCACCTCCCAGAGCTTCCTCCAGGCCACAGCGCCACCTGGCACCTCGCCAAACCCCCTTCCCACCCCCCACCGGCCGCCTCCATCTACCCTTTCCAGGTACACCCTGCCGGGCCCGATACCGAGCCAGCCCCGCCCCCGCCCGTGCCAGGCCCCGCTTCCTGCCCTGCCAGCGGCA